AGGTTCAATTAACGAAACATAGCACATATGAGATACCTCTTCCCAAATTTGTTTTCGGGTCTTCATTCGGTCTGAGACACTTCCCAACACCTGTTGAACCGAATAATTTAGTTTTACCCTTACTGATGGTTTCAACTCTAGACTAGAAGTGACTGTAGCATCAGAGGTGGTGTCTCTTTGTGCACTCTTTTGATTCGACCTAACCATTGAAGTTGGTGCAGGTTCACCTTCTTGGGCTTAACCCTGTGCTTCTCCTTGTCTTTGTGGTTTAGTATCCAAGATTGGAGACTCACCATATTCTACCTCATGTATTGCTGGCATAGGAGAACCTGTGTCCTCTATAACCACATTGATTGATTCCATTAGGGATAAAGTACGCAAGTTACAAACACGAAAAGCCCTGCTAGTGGTTGAATACCCTAGAAAAATACCTTCATCACTTTGAGAGTCAAATTTTCCCAAAAGCTCTCTATCTTTGAAAATGTAACATTTACTTCCAAAAGTTTTGAAATATTTTACATTGGGTTTCAACCCTTTCCACAATTCATATGGAGTTTGTAAAGTGTCGGGCCTTAAATACACACGATTCACAACATAAACAGCGGTATTTAAGGCTTCAGCCCAGAACTTAGGAGGAACTTTCTTGCTAAGGAGCATAACCCTAGCCATCTCTTGAACTACCCTGTTCTTCCTCTTAACAACTCCATTTTGTTGTGGAGTAATTGGTGCAGAAAACTCATGCTTAATTCCATGCATATCACAAAAATCTGAAAACGAACTATTTCAAATTCACAACCATGATCAGTTCAGATTCATATGATACGCCCAATAGAAATACCCTGTTCATTTTGGATTTTAAGGACTAAGGCCTGAAAAACATCAAACGTATCAGATTTTTCTGTTAAAAAATTAACCCATGAAAAAGGAGTATAATCATCAACAGTTAAAAAAATGTATCTTTTACCTCTGATGCTTTCAGTGCGAGTGGGTCCCATAAGATCCATATGAACCAGTTCAAGAGGACGTTTGGTTGTGAAGTTGTTCACCTTTTTATGAGGGACACGAGTTTGCTTCCCAAGTTGATATGGTCCACACACATGGTTCACATTCCCATTTTGGGTACTCCTCTCACAAGCTCTTTTTTGGCTATCTTAGTTAGGTATTTGAAATTCATGTGACCTAATCTTTGATACCACTAGTCAAGATTACTTATGATAACTGAGTGGCAAGTGAGATCATTTGTGGTAATAATCCCATATCAGTTATCAGATGTGTGAACCCCATGCATGACAGTATTTCCCTTCTTATCCAAAATTTCACATTTATTTTTTGAAAATAATACTTCATGGTAGGAATCACACATTTACTGATTCTCAAAAGATTCGCTTTAAGGCCATCAACAAGTAAAGCATTTTCGAGCTTGAGAAGACCAGCCACACTTATAGAGCCCTTACCAATGACTCTAGAAGTGCCCCCATCTCCAAAAGCAACAATTCCTCCTTCATATTTTTCAAGAGATATGAAGTAGGATTTGTCACCAGACATGTGACTACAGCACCCACTACCAAGACACCACATGTGTGAGTCACGTGCTTTCAATGCAATGTGAACAACAAAACAAGTTAAGGCACTCTTTCTCATCTATATCTTTTTGGTCTTAACAGAAGCAGGACTGGCAGTCTTGGTAACTGTCTTAGTGTTGTGAGCACCATCATGAATCTTGGTGTTCTGCCTAGACATGTAAGGTTGTCTCCTAACCCATAAAGTATTAGAATTTCTACTTTTTTGAGACACCTTACCAAACAACTCATAACAATAAAGATGAATGTGGCCATGCCTACCACAATGACGACAAGCAAAAATAGGTTTTACCTCCCTTTGGTTGATCTTACCTCCTTTAGGTTGATGAAGAGAGAGATCACCCTGTTAAACCTTTAGCTTTTCCTTTATTTGAGTCTTATTGGCATGTGATGTAGAGGCATGTCCCTTTTGAACTATTGCATTACCATAGCCTATCCAACTTTTGTCACAACTCATCTGTTGAGACTCGAGGATGTCTTCTAGTGTCTTTGATCCTTTGTTCCACATAAAAATTGTGGCTCTAGCATCTTTGAGTTCTTCATCTTTCTGACTGACTAGCTCTTCCATTGCAGCTTGTGACATCTCAAGGATTTCAATCTTCTCTTCATATGTGGCATAGATTTTTAGAAGTTCATTCCTTTCGGTCTCACAAGATAAAAGTTTTCCACATAGGTCTTGCCTGTCATTGGAGATCTTGATGACATCTTGTTTTGCTATTGCCATCTCTCCTTTTAGCTTGACATTCTTGCTTTCACATGCTTTGAGCTTGAAAGTTAGTTTGTCATTGATCTTGGACAAGTTCAGAGATTCATTGTGAAGCTTTTCATAAGCTTATTGTAGGTCATCACTACCAATCTCATCATTGTCTTCTGAGGTTTCATCATCTTCTTTTTGCTCATCTTTCTTCTCGATCTTATCCAGTCAAGCAACTAAAGCATGAAATTTGATGGAGGGTTGTGAAGATGACTCACCTCTTTCATGGACTTGACTAAGAATGTCCCATGCAACTTTGGCCTTTGTGCAGTGAGCAATCCGTTGTTGTTCTTCTTTAGAAATTACTTCACGAATTGTATTCAGAACTCTTTGATTGCTCGGATTGTTAGCACTTTCAGTGTCCTCTTCAATTACTTGCCAACCTTCCGGGTTATGAGCTCTAAGATACATCCTCATTTGTCTCTTCCAGAATAAGTAATCACTCCTATCAAAGGTAGGAGTACGGTGCAGACTTTGACCACAAGCACACTCGACTTTGGAGCTGGTTGAGTGACGGTAGACCAGAATGCCATGTAGGTACTCTCTCCGTCTTCATCGGATTCGGTTTCTTCAGGTTCTTGCTCTAACTCACTTTCATCATCCCAAGTCACTGTATAGACTTTCTTGCAATTCTTTTTTAAGGGACATTCAAGTGCAATATATCAAAACCCTTGACATTCATAACACTTGACACCTTGCCCCTTCACAGTCTTCTTCTTCGTTTTTGGAGCAACTTTTGGTGGAAAAGTTTTGAATTTGTCATTTCCCTTATCTTTTGAACTAGAGTCCTTAAAATTAGGCTTCTTTTTCTTTAAATGTTTTTTGAACTGTTCGGTAAACATCGCCGTCATTTCGGACTCTAAATCAAACTCAACCTCAAGGGTCTTAGCAATCTCATGAGCACTGATAAAAGCTACACTATCTTTTTGTATTTTCTTAGAAATCTGGTGGGCTTCGTAAGTCTGCAAGTTTCCAATCAACTGATCAAGCTTGAGGTTCTCAACATCCTGAGCCTCCTCAATAGCTGTCACTTTTAATTGGAGCCTCTCGGGTAAAGACCTCAAAATTTTTCCAACAACCTTCAATTCAGGGATTTTTTCTCTGAGTGTGAAACAGGAATTCAAAATGTCACTAAGTTTAGCATATAAAAATCATCAAACGTTCCATCATTATGCACAAAAAGAGTTTCAAATAGGAGGTGAGACGTTGAAGTTTTGATATTTTAACAGCAATAGTGCCCTTGGGAATAGTTTCAAGAATGTCCCAAGCCTCTTTTGCTTCCTCACACGTGCAAATACAATGAAACTCTTCTGGTGTGACAGAGCAAAAAAGGGAATTGAGAGCTTTACTATTCCAACTCGAGTTTTGATAATCGATTACGTCCTATCTATCGAGTGGTTTGGGGATATCAGCACCATTAATGGAGACAACAAGTTCACTCTACCCATAGATCACACAGTGCCAAACTTTCTCATTAATAGATTTTAAAAACACCTTCATACGAGCTTTCCAATAAGAATAGTTTGTACCATTGAGTAATGGAGGTCTATAGGTCAAGTTACCTTCGCGAATTGAATCTATATCACAAATCACACAAAATCACACTTCTATAGTTTTGATAAAAACAAAGAGAGACTCGCTCTGATACCAATTGAAAAACCTAAGTGATTCGTGATTAGATCAAGATTATATGCAACAACTCCCAAACGACTAAAACTGACAATCTAAATCATCTAGCACATACTATTGGAAAAATATGGTTTTTATAGGCTTATTTGGGGCTAACTTTGAGCCCAACTTTGGATGGGGCCTTCACGTCTTTTGAGGTGGGTCCAAAGAGGTGAATGTGTTCCTTGCCGCATGTCGAGTCACACGGTGAAGACGGTTCGTCAAAATCATTTATGAGTGAATGGGAAGTTGACGTCGTTTTCGGGTTCGTGAAATGGACAATTAAAGAGTAAAATGTGGGTTTCTTTATAATGGTCGTCCCACCACTACAAGAAGTTGGGTCTTGGATGACGAATTTTTTTCGTCTCCAAAGAGCTAATTTCGTCACTACAGATATTTGTGAGGAAGTATTTTCGTCACCAGGTTCGTCATTGAATGTTTGTCACTAAAAAGCATTGTGACGAAAAATAATTTCGTCACCAATGAAATTACTTTAGTGATGAAACTTTTTGTCACCAATAAAACAACATTTTGTCACCAAAAATGCTCATTTTCGTCACCAAATAGTTATTCAGTACCACATTTATAACTTTAGTTGACGAATAAATTTGTCATGCATGTTGATCATTGATGAGGAAATAATTTTGTCACGGTAAGATGTAAAGTTGACAAAAATTTTCGTCTCCAAATATCATACATGGGTGACGAAATATATTTCGTAACAAAAATATATATACATGACGAAATTTTTAATCACCAAACAACAAAATTAATGAAAACCTTCATATATAAACTATAGTAAATTTTGTCACAAAAAATATTTATTAGCGACAAATAGTCGCTTTGTCATAATAACAAATACAAATGACAAAAACAATTCGTCACTAAACTTGTCCCATATTTTGTATTTCAATTTAAATTATTATTTTACAAATATCCCTATTCATATCCCAATAACCTTTTAAATGTACTAAGAAATCCACTAGCTATTATATACCACTCCATAAAAAAATTCACCAAAAAATTTATATTATAAATCAAAATATATCCATCAAACAAATTTAATAATAATCCATTAAGTATAACAAAAAAACCATCAAAGCAAATCCAAAAATGAACTAACATGGAATTCACAAAAAAAATCAGCATTCAATCTTGATTTGCAACTAGAACCAAGTATCAGCTCAGGAAAAAAAAATTTAACACTCGATCTTGATTTGCAAGTATGCTTCCAAACATCATCAAAAACCAATCTGCAAAGAAAATAAACAAAAAAAAAAATATTAAAATATTATCAATTACATTGTATAGACCTCTTTATCCATGTCAATACAAATTGTATATACAATAAGTCTAGCTTAACAACCAAAAGTTCCTTTATACATGACAAGCTCCTATTAATCACATCACTAAATTAGAGCAACTCCAACACTACCTAGCAAAAATACACAAAAAAAATATACACGTAGTTTTGTCTCTATTTTGGTTACTGTGTATTTTAATAAGGGTCATGCTAAGTAAGAAGTAACTAATGAATCTATTTTCATTAAATACATCTTCAAACTTGTTAAATCTTAGTTAATAATTAGTGAAATTGTTGTGCTTTAACTAGTATCTACTAACCAACATTAGAAAAATAAAAACATAAAACAAGCGGGACTTACCAAAACGGCGATCTACGAGTTCATGGGATACCTCCTCCTTTAAATTGTCCTTTGAAACCTTGCTTCTTAAGAAACCTTGTTTCGTAGAAAAGAATGAAAATAAGGTCAGACGTGGGTGAAAACAGAATTTATGTTGTTCTTAATTTCAAGTGATTTTTTTTCTGAGTACACTAACCTGAAGATTCACAAGGAATCCACAATGACTAAATGATTTTAGCCCAACAGCTAAAGTAAGCCAAGCAGATGCTATTGATGTGTGCTTTGCCATGGTTAGACCATTGAGCGCAATCCCAGGACCAACAAAACCAATTGACTGCAAGTAAGGATATACCTGATGCTTACTGTATCACATGATTAGTAGGAAAATTCAAAAGTAAAACAAGAGAAACAAATGTAGACAGAAATATTTCAATTCAAACTTCTAGTTTTCCAGGTCACATGCAATTTTGTGAAACCAGCATCAATGATTGTTTATTGCCTGTTTGAATCAAAATTAGAATGAAATTTTAAAAAATAAAAAATTGGACAACCATACATGATGTTCATGAGTCCATTGCGTGGACCATGACTACTAGTAAATACATTTTGGAAACAAAATTAATAGAAGTTGTCTTTGGTTATGTTTTTACTTTTTTGAAAGATCAAGCTGCTTGTCTGAGGTGGACATGATATATCTATAACAAAGAGACATGTATTTCATCTTTCTCATAAAATCAGTACACTTGTTGAGTATGTGATAAATTCCTGATAAACTACAACTTTTAGGCTAGCTATGGCCTTACTGTTTTAAAATATATAGGCATCCATGAAAGAATAACAAAGAATCCCTGTATACAACGGAAAGAATATCAGTACCCAAAAAATCATATATCTACACAATGAAAGATATGTACACAAGCATTCAAATACTTTAGACACCTAATCACACAATTGTATTGGGTATATATTCACAAATTAAGTTAGTGATTTGCAGGGTTCCTTCTCAGTATATCATTCTAACCAAAGAAAGAAAAGTATAATCAAATAACATACATTTACTTCGAAACATTCTCTTATCTAAACATTTCTAAAGCATAAAAGGTTGACAAATAAGATCATACACGGGAGCCATATTGTGTTGATTTTGTGGAAACATATATAGCCGGATCTTGCTGGTCTTAAGAAAAAGATCTAAATAATACGAGAAGAAAAATGATACCATGCTCATGACAGCCAAGCTTCTAGTATAATTTGTCCTCCTGTCCAGCCAATTCTCAAAAGTGCAACTTTTTAACTAAAACACCTATCAAGAGGCAATGTAACTAACTTGACAAAAGAATTCCCAGGAGAGAGCCAAAGATGCAGCATATTTCTTGAAGAAAACATACCCTTGCCAGGTCATTTCCTTCACTATTTTGCAGAGCATACTCAAACACCTCCACTTTAGCTATAAGTGGCAAATGGTCATAATCTTTAGCAAAATTAAGCATATGTTTGTGCTCTAGATTTAAGGTGATCTATATACCAGAAACATGCACAAAAAATTAGACGAAATGCGCGTGCGCGCGCGCACACACACACACACATAGAGCATCAAATGAACCTTAGCGGACCTTTCTAGCATCTCTTTATTCCGAATAAGATGGTGCAGGGTGTCACACTTTGGTACCCATCCTATTAATCCGCTGTTTGGAGACAATGGAATGACAGCATATCTTTGAATAGAAAGGTCCTTCTCTGCAGTGTTTCTGGAATTTTCCAAAAGTGTGTTCCAAACCAAAGAGCTAGCCAACATGCAAAATAAAATGTCATTGATAGAGTAACAAAAATAATATAAAAACACCACGTACAATTCCAATTTTGTAAACATAACCCTTAGGTGCCTTAGAACCCAGCACCACTAGAAAGTGGATGCAGAAAACTAGAAGCCCCACTTCTTAAATAATCCCACAACCAACAACCAGGTCCAAAGGCTATTTCTTCTTCAAGAGAGTGATATCTAATCTAAAAATTATAAATGATGTTTAGATATGCAAAGTTAAAACCACAATTCAATAGATATATTCAGCAATGCAAACACAGCTCAGAGAAGACACTAGAATTGTCAAATTTAAAAAAAAAAATTAAAATTTAAAAAAAAAACTATAAAATATATTTAATAGCTTTAAAATAAAACAAAAGAAAGCTATAAAATCTATACATCAAGTCTGTAGAATGGAGCATGGAAGGAGCAACCTCATGTTCCTCATCTATACTTCTTTAACATTGAACACAAATTCAGACTAAAGCATGCTTTGAGCAAAATTTTAGAGTTTTGTACTCATAATTTGCTACTTTTAAGCATGATTCTTATGTAAATTCAATCTGAAAAATATGACTTTTAACCATTATTGTAGTAGTGACTCTATTGAAATGTTTTATACATATGGATATCCTATGCTGTCTGTGTTTAGAAAAGTATGTAAATGACATCCTTAGTTAGTCCCATGTACTAGGGGACAACAAACTTACTAATACCTCATAGGAATGAAATCTTCTTTGCCTCATGTGTGTGTAGTATTGGGTTGGCATGCCCATCATTTATTCAATATCATATTGATATAGCTGTATAGTAGAGTTGGTTATATACACAAAAACAGAGTTCTAGCCATGGCTACATCCTTTTGGAATTGTATTAAAAAAAAAAATTAAGAATGAAATTCTAAAGCCAACAACATTTTCATGAAAACCATGAAGAGTGTGACACCTCTCATGCCACCTGACAACCAAACTAAACAATAATGGCTTGAAGCAACCAAATTAGAGGCATAACCACAACAAAACAACCATGGTTTGAACCAACCCAAAGAGGCACAACCTCCACCAATGTGAAAAATGATTAGCAAATACACTATGGTGGTATTCTAAGATTTCATTTTCTTGGTGTTCTCAATGTTAGTATTGATACATATCTTTGCTAATATTTAAAAAAAAAATGGCAACTAAATTATTATATATACATGGAATTTAATTAAAAATAATCTCTCTTTATCTCATTTCTTTCTACTATCATTATACTATTTTAGCTTCTAATGAATTCCGGCACATTCTTAAGTTGAAAAAAATTACAAGTAATCTCACTTTTTCTGAGTTAAATAAGCTAAAAAAAATCAAATAATCTAGAATCTAGAATTGTAGTCAAACACCATCATTTGACCTTTTTTTTAATCCAATAATAACACTAAACCCAAAGATTTATTTATAATTAAAAAAAAAAAATTCAAACCCATTAAGAAATGAATTGAACAAATACAAATTCTATTAAGAGAGTGGAATTGAACAAATACAAATTCTATTATATATTAAAATTAAGAATTCTATTAATACAAATTCTTTTAATCAATTGGGCTCTACCAGCATACGACAACACTTTATTAGCTCACGATTGAATCCTCTTAGTAATCCTAGCAACCAATTGATCAGAATCTATTTTACACAACTTAGTAGAGACAAGAGGAACCCCCAAATACCTCATAGGAAGCTTCCCATCTTTAAAATCCATCATAGAAAGCAACTCACCTCTCAAGTGACAGTCCATATTCCAGCAAAGAACAAACGACTCTTAGCATGAAAGATCTTATGGGACTCTATTTATGAAAAATCTTATTCATTCATATACATTTTGTGTCAAATTGTACAAAATTGATATCTGTGTTGCAGATTTATTCATAATTATGTATGCGCATGACTAAAAGGAAGATAGATATCTAGAGGAAGCAATAAAAGCTTTATTTTTGATATAATCTGAAATCTAATTCCAATGAGATGCAAAAAATGTAGACCAACTAAACTAACCTCAGCTGATCAAGAAACAAATGATGCCATATTACTTTCGTGACCATCAAAAATCAACCAGCCCTAGGAATTGATCTTGAACCCCAACAAATTAGGGCCTTCTAGATGACTATTTAAACCCTTCATCAATCATTTTTTGGTTTTAAAATTTTAGCTGATAAAGCAGAGAACTCATCATCGGTTGTGAGAGTGGATTGTCATATATATAACTCATCATCTGATCACCTTATGTAGAACTCATCGAGGGTTTGAATTGGGGTTTCGGTTTGGGAGGGTTTCAAAGGGTAGATCGAGATGGAGAGAGATAGTGAGGCAGAGATTGAGAGCGAAGGTGAGGCAGAGATAGAGATAGAGATAGAGATAGAGAGATGGTGAGATAGAGATGGAGCACTCCAACTGGGACTGATCTTTGCCAGATGTCGGAGGTAACGGTTTGGCTAGAAAGAGGGTTGGGGTTAGAGAAGCGGGCGGTGGAGAATCTAGGGTTTGTGGTTGTAGTGATGGTCGTTCTGGAGAAGAAACAAAGAAAAAATGATGGAGAGAGAGAGAGAGACGAAAGCTATGGAGAGAAACAAACAAACAGAAAGACACAGAGAGTGCTAATGCTAGGTAGTGTTTGACACTCTAAAATTTTATTTTGGTGCTATTTTTTTTAGTCACATCTTTTAGGATAGCATTGTGTATTATGGAAAGTGTAATATTTTAAATGGTTAATTTTTTGTGGGTTGTGAAAAGTATAATTTTTGATGATTAATTTTTTGTGTCGTGAAATATTTAATATTTTTATCAATTTATAGACGCGTGTTGTGTATAGTTGATGTATTAACGGCATATCATAAGCACGTCATAAAATTTTTTATTATTTACAGTTAACATTGCAAGTCATAAAAAAATCATCATTATTAACATTTACGACTTACGCAATACACACATCGTAGTTGAGAAATTATTTACGATATGCAAAAAAAGAAAGTCATAAAAATAAGAAACCACAGCTTGCATTTACTGTATGTCGTTGATATGAAGCTGTAAAAACCCAGTTTTGTTGTAGTGGATAAACATAAAAGGGGTAAAAAAATTAAAACCCTACTCATTTTTTTCATTGTCACTTAATACATCAAAATTTTCCCACCAAAATTGGTGACAACATTTTTTCCTCACCAAAAATCTCAAAAATATTAAAAAATTTTGGTAACGAAAGCATATTCCTCATAAATAATTTTATAATTAGTGATCAATTTTTTTCTCACCAAAAGTCCCAAAATTTTGGCGCCACCCAAAAAAATTAGTGAGAAAATTTTTGGTGACGAAACTTAATTTTTTCTCACCTAAAAGAAAGTATTTATTGACGAAAATAAATTTCGTCACCTATCATTTTTATTTTTTTATTATATGTGACAAAATTTATAAATTTTTATTTAGTGGCGAAATTTATTTTTTTCACTAGTTTTCGTCATCAGGAGGCGCTGATGGAAGAGAACGTGAGGCATCAAAGGAGACGGGTGGAGAGGCTCAGAGATGCGACGTCGACGACGGCACGGAAGAAGGAGAACAGGCAACGTCAGTGGTAGCGCTAGAGGAGAACACTCTGAATGAGGACTAACTTGTGTTTTGTTTTGAGAGAGAGATATGAGAGGAAAACTAATAAACAAAAAAAAAAAAAAAAAAAATTTGTAATCTAATTTTTTTTTTTTTTGCCCAATCTGTCAAAATTTTCCCTTCAAAATTAGTGAATTCCTATTTAGTGTAAAAATTCATATTTTCAAGTGTAAAAAGAGGGTGGGGGGAGGGGAAATTTTTATTTTTTTTAAAAAAATTCATAAATATTATACCTTTTAAGTATATTTATGTTATGCGTGTCTAAAAAAAATAAAAAATAAAAACTTAGAATATTAAAAAAATTCATTGAAAATATAATTCGGAAAATAAAAAAGTAAATTTTTTGAAAACCAAAACCGAACAAGCTGATTAGTGACGAAAATATATTTCTCACCATATAATCTTAAAATTTATAAAATTGAGTTTTCAAAAAAAAAAGTAAAATTATTCGTGACGAAAATATATTCCTCACTAAAAATTTTATAATTGGTGACAAAAAATTTTCTCATCAAAAGTCTCAAAATTTTGGCGCCACCAAAAAAATTTAGCGGGAAAACCTTCGATGACGAAATTTAATTTTTCCTCACCTAAAAAGAAATATTTATTGACGAAAATAAATTTCGTCACTAATTATTTTTATTTTTTATTATATGTGACAAAAATTTATAATTCGTCATGAATTACTCTTATTTAGTGACGAAGTTTATCTTTTTCATTACTTTTCGTCACCATAGGTTACTTTTGTATGTATATAAGTTCTAGGTGGAAACACTTGGATTGGGTCCCAAGGGGTACCCCAAGTTTGTAAAAGGAAGGAGTTATGAACAAAGTGAACCTTGGCTCAAACCAATACATGCACGTGCGCCGCCGCCGCCGCAGTCCGGCCAGCTGAGCCATGCCGGGTGCGGGTATGGGTGTGGGTTGTGGGTCGAGTCGGTTCTAATATTAATTTTTTGGACAAAAAATTTATTTTGAATTTTTCCAAAAATTCTAGCGGGAAAATTAATTTTTCTGAATGAAATTAATTCAAATTTTGCGCCAATAGATTAACTATTGAAAACTGCCAGCAGTTTCAGATAGATTCAAACTAGTTTTTCCAGCAGATCTGTTCAAATTTGAATTGCACCTATTTAATTCAAAAACAAATTTGTTCATTTCAAATTGAACCTGTTCGGACAGTCACTTCTATGCCTATAAATACTAGAAGTTTTTTAGCATTTGGACATTCCGAAAATCTTCTTTTGTCTTGCCTTCCTTTGTGCTCTCTTGTATATATATTCTACATATTATTTTTTAGGAAAAAATTTTGAGAGTATAGAACACAGATTTTGTTCACCGTACAGATTGTTTGGAGTACTACTACAATTTGTATAGATCATTGTATCCTGAGAGATAGATGTCATATAGCGATCCCGGTTATCCCTTTACTGTTCTGTTATTTTCCGGACGCGGTTCTGTGGAGTTGGTAGTTGTACCTATTGTGTTTTCAACCTTTAAAATCTTTTGTTTGAGTTTTAGAATGTGTTGGGCTCGATTGTTTCAGGTTGGTAGAGCTTTAGCTCCCATTGTTGTTGCCCAGTTTTTGAATGGTCCGCTCGAGCGGGTCGTCTTGCGCTCGAGTGGGGTTTTCACAGTTTCAGTATTTCGTGCCTCTGCAAAACTTCTGCAGAAGTGTTTTCTACGCTCGAGCTGGTTTCTTGTGCTTGAGCGGGTCGCGCTCGAGCGGGCTTGGTAGCGCTCGAGCGGGTAGTACCTTTTTGGTATAAGTTCTGGGAGGGGGAAATCTATGCTCAAGCGGACTGATTTTCACGCTCGAGCGGATGTGCTTTATTCTTGTGTCTTGGCGCTCGAGCGGGACTTTTTGCGCTCGAGCGGACCTAGTTTTTGTTCTTGATGCTCGAGCGTTGTGTTCTACGCTCGAGCGGGAGAGTCGTATATCAGTTGACAGCTAGGCTATTTTAAATCACTTTTTACATCCACACTCTCTCTCTTACTTTTCTAAAACCCATTTTTGAGAGCTCCTCTCTCTAGAATCTCCCTTCTCTCTAGGGTTTGATCTAGCTGGGGTGTTCTCCTTACCTTTAGTCTTTTTAAAAGTTGTGTTGATCGTCGAGGGCTATCTTTTGATCCGAAAATCTTGGTCTTTGGAGCACTTTGGTTTTGGTCTCTTCTCCATCCGAGCTCTAGCGTCGAGGTAGGGATATCCTACTCTTCCTTATGGATTTTGTCTTTAAATTTTAGCATTTTGATGTGTTGGGTGTTGTTGGGTAGATTTGAGAAAGTTCGGGTCTTTTGTGTAATTTCACAAAAGTTGGGGTTTTGTTTGAAATAGACCTATATGCAAGTTTGGCATAAAAGAAAATGAGTTGGATGATGGATCGTGGGTGAAAATGAAACCTTGGAGTTGTTTTGTTAATTGAGGTAATTTGCCCTAATTGTTTAATTAATTAACGTATATAATTAATTAAAGGAAATGAGGAATCGAAGTGGAAATGTTGAAATTGGGAATGCATGGGACTAAAGGGTGTAGTTAAATCATTTATTGCTCACCTAATTGGAATGTTGATATATTATCCATTTGTGCATTTATTTCCTGTTTAGAAATAATTGCTTGGGGCTACCGGTGGAGGGTAGTGTTGATTGTTGTAGACAATGTATGATGATTAGGCAAACTAAAACTAATCAATCGGGTGTGTCATAGAGTATGACGGATGATAGAATACATTAACTTTATGTATTGATTGATTGTGTATATGACCAATGTGTTTATATGCATTATGTGTAGACAGTTGATAGAATACATTAACTTTATGTATTGGTTGATTGCGTATGTGATTCTGTGTTTATATGCATTACTTGTGTATGGGAGGAGATGGGGGATGTACTCCACGGTTTAGGGGAAGATGGGGGATGTACCTCTAAACCGGTTAATGGTTAATGGTTAAGGGAATATGGGGGATGGACCCAGGGTTGCAGCTCATATGCTCTCCCATTGAAGTGTTGATACAGCTCATATGCTTATCTATTGAAGTGTTGATACAGCTCATATGCTTATCTGTGGTAATATTGATGTAGCTCATATGCTTATCTATTGGAATGTTGATATAGCTCATATGCTTATCTGTTGAAAAAGTTTGTTTGATTTGATATAGCACTAAAATGTATATCATCATCGTTTGCGAAGTATGGAAATAGTTTATGTGTTATTGATACAACACCAAAATGTGTATCCACCGTGAATTTCGAAAGTGTCCTAGTGATGAACTATAATCTCATCAAAATGTTTTGGCCAGAGCACTGAGCCTTGTTTTCAAACTCAAAGTTGAATAAGAAATGGAAAGCGAATTGTAACATAGACTTGGCTGTCATGGAATTGTAATAAGATGTAATTAGAAGTGTAAGTATCGACCATCTATCAGTTGCTAATCTTTTAGGCATTGTTTATAGTTGGTTTAGTATATCTCTCCTGGGCTGTGGCTCACCCTATATGAGAACATCATTTTCAGGTACAAGTAGCATGCCACCTCTAAGGACATAGCTTGGGAGGCTAGAGGCGGACACACTTTTGTTGTCTTATTTCTTTTCGATGTACTACATGTAAATTCAAGCCAAGGGCATAATATGTAATTGAGTTAGTACTCTCTTTTGTAACCAAGTGTTAACTTGGAAAGCTGTAAGCCCGTAGGGCATTTGCCATTGTTGTTAACATGTAATACTTTTGCAATGAAGTACTATGATGAATTGAAGAATGTGGATCTTTTGTATATAAATGTATGATCATTTTGATGGGTTTAATGTTATTATTTTGAGGGCGTTACATGTCATTTATCCATAAGCACGAAGTGGGACCAATCTGTCTTAAGGACAAAGTGTCACCCACTCGACTTGATCTTTTTTGTACTTATTTGGTTTGGTAAATAAATTCTGTAAATAATTTATTTTTATT